CCCTTGGATAAAACAGGAAACATAGTTTTTAAAAATAAAAATGATGGATGTCCTAAACGAAAATGCTGAAGCAAAATCTAAAGTTTATTTGGTGAAAGCTTCTCAGATAAATGAGATAGAGGTAATCAATCTCCATCTCTGCCAGAACCGGTACCCAAGAAGTAAAGTTCTTTCCTCTCTTTAGCAAGCCCAATCGTCTTACCCGTAACCATTTCCTAAAAGACACGATGATTGGAGAAAAGTATAGCTTTGCAGTTTAGATCTTTTGTGAGTTTATGAATAAACAACAAATTAATCGAAATTTAAGGCACTTGAAGTACATTTCAGTAAGAGAGAAAAGGTGATAGGGATGGTTCCTTTTCCATGCAGTGGATGCAAATGTACCATCTACAACTTTTATTTTTTGATTTTTTGGGACATGAGGTGTATGTAGTGAAGTGATGTGATGAGTTGGTCATGTGATCAATAGCACCTGAATCAACAACCCACATTTCATGTGTTTTACAATCTTTTGAGGCACTAAAAGCGTTGAATAAATTATCATTACTTGAGTGAACAAATGAACATGAACCAACCGATTTTCCTATTGAAGTAAGAAGGCTTAAAAGCTTCTCAACTCTTCTTTATTTAGTGTATTTATCTCTGATTCATTGTTGGTGGAATCTTCATCTTTAACCACTATGTTTGCTTATGTGTGATATATTGCTGCTGCTTGTTATTTCTACCAAATGATGATGGCTTTCCATTCAATTTCCAACAGGTGTAACGACCTGGGTCCCACTTAAGGGCTGTCCCGGCCGTTATTTCATATTGCTTTCCATTCAATTTTCAACTTCCCAAGGGGTCACCCATCATAGAATTGCTCCAAATCAAGCACGCTTAACTGTAGAGTTTCTAACGATGGACTTCCGGAAAAGAAGGTACACCTTGTTGGTATGAATAGTACCTATCAAATCTTTTAAACTTTCCTGATCTGGGTATTACAATCACCCCCCGTTAGACTCGCGACGTCCTCGTCGCGCTTGATCCATTTGAGGATCCGTTGCCAGGCGTTGGGATTTTAGAGGTTGCTCCTACGAGTTCAAGAGGTGGCTCCCGTCCTATGGCGTAGCACTTTGTCCCGCATAGCACTTAGTTCCCGATTTCCGGCTGGCAACCGGGCTCTGATACCATTTGTAACGACCTGAGTCCCACTTAACGGGCTGTCCGGCCATTAGATCGACGACGTATTGTCCCCACTGTACCAATATGAGTCTTTTCAGCATGCTTTGTCCTCACTCGCACGCTCCCCGAGAAAACTTCCCAGGGGGTCACCCATCATAGAATTGCTCCAAGTCAAGCACGCTTAACTGTAGAGTTTCTAACGATGGATTTCGGGAAAAGAAGGTGCACCTTGTTGGTATGAGTAGTACCTATTAAATTTTTTAAAATTTCCTGGTCTGGGTATTACAACAGGTCCCCTTTGTATGTCCTCGCCTTTAGAAAAAGTCACACCGACGGTCATCTTTAATTTCCGGTGGTTCTCTAATTTCATGATTCTGTTTTGGACTCCAAAGCTATTTGAAGATGGCTTCTTTGTTGCAATCAGGAAAAATGCTTCAGCAGATGGAGAATCAAGCATCATAGTCCTTCCCTCCACAGCTTGAATAATGGAGAACACTTCCTTTCCAAGTACTTGCACTCAAACTTGATCGAATGCCACGTTAAGTCCAGCCAAGAATTCATAAAATCTTTCTCCTTCGACAAATTTCAACATCATTGCAGCATCATCACCACACTTCATCTTGAGATTTTTCAAGTAATCAAGATCAAACCATAAACCATTCAAGGTATAATAATATTCAGTAACCGACATTGTACCTCGTTTAGTGGAATGAATCTTGCTTTTAATTTCAAAAACCGAGGCTGCATCTTTAACTTAGGAGTACGTTTTATTCACAGTATCCCATATGTCTTTAGCAGTGGTAAAGAACATACAATTTCCACTAATTTTAGGTTGCTTCGAGTCCTAAAGCCATGACATGATTAAGAATCCTCCACAAACCAAGCCTCAAACTTTGTATCCTCTTTGCTAGGTACAGGGCCAGTTAAATGGCTGAGCTGCCCTTTCCCTTTCAATTTTGGTCGAACCACTTGAGACCAGATTAAGTAGTTTGTTCCGTTCAGACGATAGGATGACTGAATAATCTGAAGTTCATTGACTGATGTCTGGTTAGATTGATTAACAATCTGAGTTGGATTTGAGGTTTCGAAAATAATAGACATTCTGGTTTATTTTTCAAGTAAATAGAGGGACAATCTAGTCCAAAAAATGGCAATGATGGCCAGGTACTACAAAGAAGTCAGAGACAGGACTGTCTTAGAAGAAATTCCTAAGTTCTGATACCATATAGATGAATAAGAATATAATTTCTGACTTGTATCTCTCTAATAAAAGTTTACAATTTATAGAGTACATTGAATACTAATTTAGGAAACTAATTATAGACAAAGAAATAGGCAAAAATCTCTCTAAGTGAAAATAGACCCTAAATGGCCAAATTTTTAGCAACTAAATTAGGAAAGGAATCAATCCATTTACAACTATACAATCTTGGAATCAAACCAGGGTTTAATTCCTTTCTTTCCATGTCAATAATATCCTTGAGGATTTGTTAACATACCCAAACTCAACATCTGTAATCCAATTATGGCGTGTTTGGTAGGATGGGTTGTACTATATTGAACAGTGTTAAATAAGACAAACAAAAATTTTGTTTATTATCATGTCCAATCCACTTTTGCATGGAAAACATATCCTTATAGGTTCATATTCCATACCATCCCTTTGAGTACCCTCAATCAATACGACACTTAGTATAGAAATATATGAAAGAGGACCAAACTAAGTTTTTAACACTTAGTATTCCGAACAGCGGAGATTTTTTACATTAATTCAAGAGGGCCAAATAAAGTTTTTTCTGAAGCATATTTAGAAGATAGTCTAGGTCAAAGGTTCATAATCAGCAGAGCAAAAGTTCATTGAGACTACAATTCAAGGTTGCTTTCGCATTCATCAACTAGTGTTCAAATATATGACAAATTTAACTTTAGCAGGAATGGACCAATGATTTACAAATTTAACAAGTTGGATCTAACGTCTGTCTATGAAGTAACAATGTAAGTTATCCTCATTATTAGCAGTGGAGAAGATTAATCTCATTGCTGATCTTTACAGCACTGACTAGGTTGTCTCTGTTAACAGGGTAGTAAATGTATATCAGCTGCTTTTATCTCTCATGGACAAAAACAAATACATAGCCTCATTCCAGCATATTTGGGTTCCACTATATGAATCATTTTTCACCATTCTGTTCAATTTATCACTACATTGAATAGAAGATCGAATACAGCTAGATCCTTCACAACCAAAATAGGCTATGTTAATTTTGGTAGATCTATTCCTACTCTTATGAACAAGTACTTCTTTAGGTCTATGCAAGACGTGTCAAAATCACTTAACTTCATCGTTCCCTTAGTTTACTTTCTTCTGCCATTCATCCAACATCTTTATACTCCATAAATTTTATTAAACAATTCTACCAAAATAGTTTTCCTATTTATCTATGATCTCATCACTTCAAAATAAAACTTCAGTTTTCATATATAACATACTTGACTTGGTTTAGATCTCTACTTTCCTCTTTCCTTTATCGAGATATCTTGTATGCTTTCGCAATGGACTCTTGAATCCTTTTCATGGCTTCTCTTTGGCAATCCACCACTATGTTTCCTTGTTAGGTGAGTAGGTGATTTTCTACCCTTACATTCTCCTTGTACCTCCATTATCAATTGCTTAGACAGCACAACTTTTCAATTTTCCATTATCACACAATCTTTGAGAATGCATGGAAAATATCAGATAAGCATATAAAACAGAAGACTGGATTCTTATAATAACATATAACAATTTGTTCAAGAATATTCCTAGATTTTGCTTTATTCTTACATGAAGATAACATATTAATTTCAAACAGCTCTAGGACAAGGGAAAAGTACTTGTTTAAAAAGCGTACTATTCTAGATGAAATTGATTTCTAGCAGAAAGGATAGTGAACTTGACCAGAAAAGCGTAATTAGCATACCCATATTAACAAATCATTCTCATATTTTGGGAATTTCAAGAAATATATGAAGCCCTTTGTTAAGATGAAAGATATCCCAATTCAACACGATGGAAATTAAATCAGATCATCTTGGAAAGATAAAGCTGGAAAAAGGCCAAGCATAATCAAAAGCTGCCTTGGCTGTTGACTGATTTCTCTGCTAAGGCTTATAATATAAGATGAAGTGCAAATCATACCAGACCTCTTGATAGTGACAAATATTCACATCATTTGATATATATATTTCAACAGGTAATTAAAAAGACCAAATTGCTCAATGGCCATTCAGCATCAAGCAAATTAAGGCTATGTTTGAGCCCTTTTTTGGGAAAAATAGATTATGTAATAGTGATTCTTTTGGAGAATGTTTGGTTAAGAAGTAGGGAAGGTTTTGGGTTTACGTATAGAATTATTTTATTAGGAGAATGTGTGGTTGAAAATGAGTTTCGGGAAAAATGAATTTTTTGAGAATGGGGCTCAAGGCTAAATTTGTATCATCCGTAAGGATCCACAATTAATGTTCTCTCTTGGTAATGAAACAAGGATACAGGAGGTCCTATAAAGTCTCTTCTCAATTGATACATAAAAAATCTAAATGAATAATATGACCTAGTCATTAATTGACAACACAAACATCAAAAGAACTAAACACTAATTACAAAAACCACAAAACAACATAAATTCTATGCACAGCAAATCAGGATTAACAAAAGGAGATATTAACTATGCAAAACACTCAATATTTAGTAAAAGAAAAACAGCATATACAAGTAAAGCACTTGGGAATAATTCGAGCCACGAATTGAAAGAAACAATAATAAAATAGTGAACATAAAGTGCGAAAAGGCACATTACGTCTTAGCCAATGCATCAAAAATACTCTGAGCCTCAGCACTGACACCAACTCCAATCCTCTCAGCATCTATTTCTGCTTGTCTGCAATGCAATTCCACACACAACCCACAAACAAAATCACACCTTTAAGCACAAATAATCCAATAATAATGCTACAATAACCAAAAATTTCACAAAATTCGCCCAAATTCATAGTCATAGGAAATAGTTAAAAAATAATCAAAAAAATTCTAATATGAAAATTTACCTGATAGCAGAGTCTTCTCTGGCCTGAAGAGTGTTGAGATCAAGAAAACACTTACTGATATCAAGTGGGTCCTCACCTTGACCCAAGAAAGTGAACTCCTTTACGTAATTAGCCTTGAGCAGCCTTATATTCCTCTTTGGCCCTGACCCAGATTTCACTCCTTCTTGTATTTTCCTATCACAGTTAAAGAACTTACAAACAATAAAATAGAAAAACAAAAATTATATAATTATTACATAAAAAGATTGTAAATTATTTAAAGGATATGAAGGATGAGGAGGTTTGAAGAGGGGTCAAAAGTGATGACTTGGGCTTGAAATTCTTCACCAAGAGTAGTTTTGATGGATAATATGCAACCCACTGCAAAATCTACGCCGCTGCTATTCTGATTCTGAGCTTCCATTGCTGTTGATTTTTTGCGATTGATTTTCCTTCTTATTTTTGAGGAGTGTATTTCGCCCAGTCCTTCTGTAGGCAAAATTTAGAACTGAACTCGCATCTTAAGTACACGACTTCAATCAAGCCTATGCATGTTTGGGTGCACAAAGAAATTTACTTATAAGTAAAATACTTAAGTTTTAAATAATAATGTTATATTGGTAAAAGTTGGGATAAAAGTAACTTATTTTGACAATAACATAATGATTCATCTAGTATGGAATTATTTCTTAAATTAAGCTCCGTTTGGTAGAAATTAAAATTAGATTTTGAGTAAATTTTAATAAACGTTGATGAAATGTGTTATTAAAAAGTCGTGGATCCCATAAAATGTACGATTAAAATTAATTATTGAATTTGATTTAGATTAAAATTTTAATTTTAATTTTCACCAAACAAGGACTTAAATTTCACTTGACTATTCATGATTTCAAATAAAAGCACAATTAACTTGAAAAAAACTCTCATGTTCTTATCATTGTTTGGGTCAAAAAATAATTATCGTTTCATTCTCTAACGATAAGTTATCAAATATCTGTCTGTCCAAGTGATTAGTTATCAGGACATTGCAATATTAATTTCGACTCTACCTTCCTGGAGTTCATTTTCAAGGAATTCCCGTTTATCTTGTTAAGCAAGTTCTCTTGATAGATCATCCTAAAAGTTAATCTTTTACCTTTGCTTCGTAGCTAGAGTCGAGCAGAATGTTGGTCGATTTGAACTCCCTATGAACAATAGGAATTCCAACAGCAGAACTTGAATGAAGATATGCAAATCTTTTTGCTATTCCAAGACCCACTTTTTGCCTCAATGGCCAATCCATCTTAACTCCTAAGATTCCTAAAACTCGGTGAATCGAAAGACGATCAAGAGGCAAATATATAGCAGTATCGGATAGTATTGGACAGTATTGTTAACAGAGTAAAATCTCTCCAAGTTGGTATCTTACCATACATAATCGTAGGAATATTATTCCCCAAATTAGAGATACTATTTACCTTGTATTATGTAACTATATATACCTATCATTGTAAAGAAAATAAACAAGATTGTTTCATTATTTTCGACTTGGTATCAGAGACAGTGTATTGAACTAGCCAACAGTTCAAAGAAATAAAAAACTTTTGCACAATTTGAATTTTTTCCAGCTTTGCGTGACCTCCACGAAAACGGTTGTATCTTTCAAACCGTAACTCGGAATTGCGCAAGGTTGGTGCCTTTGGATTTGTATCGTCCGTATCTAGCTAATTGTCTTTCAGGCTATTTTTGACAACGTTTGGTAGGTCAAAATCGCCTTCAAAGTCACCAGTAATTCATATTCAATCCGGAAATTCTGGCTTCCAGGCTGGTATTGTTCTAACCGAAACCAACTATGATGTATGGTCACAAATATTNAGAGGACCAAACTAAGTTTTTAACACTTAGTATTCCGAACAGCGGAGATTTTTTACATTAATTCAAGAGGGCCAAATAAAGTTTTTTCTGAAGCATATTTAGAAGATAGTCTAGGTCAAAGGTTCATAATCAGCAGAGCAAAAGTTCATTGAGACTACAATTCAAGGTTGCTTTCGCATTCATCAACTAGTGTTCAAATATATGACAAATTTAACTTTAGCAGGAATGGACCAATGATTTACAAATTTAACAAGTTGGATCTAACGTCTGTCTATGAAGTAACAATGTAAGTTATCCTCATTATTAGCAGTGGAGAAGATTAATCTCATTGCTGATCTTTACAGCACTGACTAGGTTGTCTCTGTTAACAGGGTAGTAAATGTATATCAGCTGCTTTTATCTCTCATGGACAAAAACAAATACATAGCCTCATTCCAGCATATTTGGGTTCCACTATATGAATCATTTTTCACCATTCTGTTCAATTTATCACTACATTGAATAGAAGATCGAATACAGCTAGATCCTTCACAACCAAAATAGGCTATGTTAATTTTGGTAGATCTATTCCTACTCTTATGAACAAGTACTTCTTTAGGTCTATGCAAGACGTGTCAAAATCACTTAACTTCATCGTTCCCTTAGTTTACTTTCTTCTGCCATTCATCCAACATCTTTATACTCCATAAATTTTATTAAACAATTCTACCAAAATAGTTTTCCTATTTATCTATGATCTCATCACTTCAAAATAAAACTTCAGTTTTCATATATAACATACTTGACTTGGTTTAGATCTCTACTTTCCTCTTTCCTTTATCGAGATATCTTGTATGCTTTCGCAATGGACTCTTGAATCCTTTTCATGGCTTCTCTTTGGCAATCCACCACTATGTTTCCTTGTTAGGTGAGTAGGTGATTTTCTACCCTTACATTCTCCTTGTACCTCCATTATCAATTGCTTAGACAGCACAACTTTTCAATTTTCCATTATCACACAATCTTTGAGAATGCATGGAAAATATCAGATAAGCATATAAAACAGAAGACTGGATTCTTATAATAACATATAACAATTTGTTCAAGAATATTCCTAGATTTTGCTTTATTCTTACATGAAGATAACATATTAATTTCAAACAGCTCTAGGACAAGGGAAAAGTACTTGTTTAAAAAGCGTACTATTCTAGATGAAATTGATTTCTAGCAGAAAGGATAGTGAACTTGACCAGAAAAGCGTAATTAGCATACCCATATTAACAAATCATTCTCATATTTTGGGAATTTCAAGAAATATATGAAGCCCTTTGTTAAGATGAAAGATATCCCAATTCAACACGATGGAAATTAAATCAGATCATCTTGGAAAGATAAAGCTGGAAAAAGGCCAAGCATAATCAAAAGCTGCCTTGGCTGTTGACTGATTTCTCTGCTAAGGCTTATAATATAAGATGAAGTGCAAATCATACCAGACCTCTTGATAGTGACAAATATTCACATCATTTGATATATATATTTCAACAGGTAATTAAAAAGACCAAATTGCTCAATGGCCATTCAGCATCAAGCAAATTAAGGCTATGTTTGAGCCCTTTTTTGGGAAAAATAGATTATGTAATAGTGATTCTTTTGGAGAATGTTTGGTTAAGAAGTAGGGAAGGTTTTGGGTTTACGTATAGAATTATTTTATTAGGAGAATGTGTGGTTGAAAATGAGTTTCGGGAAAAATGAATTTTTTGAGAATGGGGCTCAAGGCTAAATTTGTATCATCCGTAAGGATCCACAATTAATGTTCTCTCTTGGTAATGAAACAAGGATACAGGAGGTCCTATAAAGTCTCTTCTCAATTGATACATAAAAAATCTAAATGAATAATATGACCTAGTCATTAATTGACAACACAAACATCAAAAGAACTAAACACTAATTACAAAAACCACAAAACAACATAAATTCTATGCACAGCAAATCAGGATTAACAAAAGGAGATATTAACTATGCAAAACACTCAATATTTAGTAAAAGAAAAACAGCATATACAAGTAAAGCACTTGGGAATAATTCGAGCCATGAATTGAAAGAAACAATAATAAAATAGTGAACATAAAGTGCGAAAAGGCACATTACGTCTTAGCCAATGCATCAAAAATACTCTGAGCCTCAGCACTGACACCAACTCCAATCCTCTCAGCATCTATTTCTGCTTGTCTGCAATGCAATTCCACACACAACCCACAAACAAAATCACACCTTTAAGCACAAATAATCCAATAATAATGCTACAATAACCAAAAATTTCACAAAATTCGCCCAAATTCATAGTCATAGGAAATAGTTAAAAAATAATCAAAAAAATTCTAATATGAAAATTTACCTGATAGCAGAGTCTTCTCTGGCCTGAAGAGTGTTGAGATCAAGAAAACACTTACTGATATCAAGTGGGTCCTCACCTTGACCCAAGAAAGTGAACTCCTTTACGTAATTAGCCTTGAGCAGCCTTATATTCCTCTTTGGCCCTGACCCAGATTTCACTCCTTCTTGTATTTTCCTATCACAGTTAAAGAACTTACAAACAATAAAATAGAAAAACAAAAATTATATAATTATTACATAAAAAGATTGTAAATTATTTAAAGGATATGAAGGATGAGGAGGTTTGAAGAGGGGTCAAAAGTGATGACTTGGGCTTGAAATTCTTCACCAAGAGTAGTTTTGATGGATAATATGCAACCCACTGCAAAATCTACGCCGCTGCTATTCTGATTCTGAGCTTCCATTGCTGTTGATTTTTTGCGATTGATTTTCCTTCTTATTTTTGAGGAGTGTATTTCGCCCAGTCCTTCTGTAGGCAAAATTTAGAACTGAACTCGCATCTTAAGTACACGACTTCAATCAAGCCTATGCATGTTTGGGTGCACAAAGAAATTTACTTATAAGTAAAATACTTAAGTTTTAAATAATAATGTTATATTGGTAAAAGTTGGGATAAAAGTAACTTATTTTGACAATAACATAATGATTCATCTAGTATGGAATTATTTCTTAAATTAAGCTCCGTTTGGTAGAAATTAAAATTAGATTTTGAGTAAATTTTAATAAACGTTGATGAAATGTGTTATTAAAAAGTCGTGGATCCCATAAAATGTACGGTTAAAATTAATTATTGAATTTGATTTAGATTAAAATTTTAATTTTAATTTTCACCAAACAAGAACTTAAATTTCACTTGACTATTCATGATTTCAAATAAAAGCACAATTAACTTGAAAAAACTCTCATGTTCTTATCATTGTTTGGGTCAAAAAATAATTATCGTTTCATTCTCTAACGATAAGTTATCAAATATCTGTCTGTCCAAGTGATTAGTTATCAGGACATTGCAATATTAATTTCGACTCTACCTTCCTGGAGTTCATTTTCAAGGAATTCCCGTTTATCTTGTTAAGCAAGTTCTCTTGATAGATCATCCTAAAAGTTAATCTTTTACCTTTGCTTCGTAGCTAGAGTCGAGCAGAATGTTGGTCGATTTGAACTCCCTATGAACAATAGGAATTCCAACAGCAGAACTTGAATGAAGATATGCAAGTCTTTTTGCTATTCCAAGACCCACTTTTTGCCTCAATGGCCAATCCATCTTAACTCCTAAGATTCCTAAAACTCGGTGAATCGAAAGACAATCAAGAGGCAAATATATAGCAGTATCGGATAGTATTAGACAGTATTGTTAACAGAGTAAAATCTCTCCAAGTTGGTATCTTACCATACATAATCGTAGGAATATTATTCTCCAAATTAGAGATACTATTTACCTTGTATTATGTAACTATATATACCTATCATTGTAAAGAAAATAAACAAGATTGTTTCATTATTTTCGACTTGGTATCAGAGACAGTGTATTGAACTAGCCAACAGTTCAAAGAAATAAAAAACTTTTGCACAATTTGAATTTTTTCCAGCTTTGCGCGACCTCCACGAAAACGGTTGTATCTTTCAAACCGTAACTCGGAATTGCGCAAGGTTGGTGCCATTAGATTTGTATCGTCCGTATCTAGCTAATTGTCTTTCAGGCTATTTTTGACAACGTTTGGTAGGTCAAAATCGCCTTCAAAGTCACCAGTAATTCATATTCAATCCGGAAATTCTGGCTTCCAGGCTGGTATTGTTCTAACCGAAACCAACTATGATGTATGGTCACAAATATTGGAGATGCAAATTGCAGGGCGTGAAAAACTCGAATACATTCTGGGTAAAACTGACCCACCGGAGGAAATAGATCCCACCCATTCCAAATGGTATGCTGAAAATCAAAGAGTTAAAGGTTGGTTACTTACCTCTATGTCCCCGAAAATAATGAAGCGTTACTCACGCATACGCACGGCACGGGAGATTTGGAGTGCTCTCGCCAAAGCGTTCTACGACGGATCAGATAACACGCAAATATTTGTACTAAATCAGCGTGCCTTCTCTTCCAAAAAGGTGGTCGTCCCCTGTCCATCTATTATAGGGAACTTGTTGAAATTTTTCAAGAACTGGACCATCGAGACAAGGTTACTATGAAGGATCCTAATGACATTATAGCATATGAAAAATCAATTGAACGTCAGCGGGTGCATATCTTTCTTGGCGGACTGGATGCTGAATTCGAACAGGTCCGAGGTGAAGTGATTCGAAAAAACCCGCCAACTGACCTGAAGAAACTTATGCTTATGCACGTAAGGATGCTGTGCGTCGAGCCACCCTGAATAGGAAACCTGATAATCCAGAATCCTCTACACTCCTGGTTCACCGAACTAAGCCACAGTCATGCAAACCTGTTGCTAAATATGAATATGATCAGAAGGAGACCTCCAAGCCGGAACGCTTGTGCACTCACTGTGGTGAAACAGGCCACTCAAAAGCACGGTGCTATGACCTGATTGGGTATCCAAACTAGTGGGATGCAGCAAAGGCACCACAAAAACGTAACTCAAAGTGGAATTACCAAGCAACTGTCACCGTAGCCAAACCAGCCAATGCTACTCTTGCAGAAACTTCTACCTTGGTCGCCACCTCAGTAACTTAGGTGAGGCATTACATATCTCTGCACATAGTAGTAGTAGTACGTGGATAGTTGATTCAGGAGCCACGGATCACATGACCTTTGACAGTCACCATGATCATTTTTTGAAACCATCATCTGAACATGTGGTGTCCACAGCTAATGGCAATACCTCATCTGTGGTTGAAAAGTGTTTAGTCACTCTTTCAAATAATTTAAACCTTGATTCCATTTTAGTTGTACCATCTCTAAACTATAACTTATTCTCTGTATCTCAGATAACTTGTGCCTTACATTGTGTTGTTATTTTTGACCCAATCTTTGTGTTTTCAAGGATATTCGGACTTGGAGCACAATTGCTTATGGTATTAGAAGGGGGAAGCTATATTACCTGGATTTGAAACCTGCAAGCTCCAGTCAGTTGGCTCAAGTTTTTTCAGCGAATAAGTCTAACAAAATCACTTTTGAAATTTAGTTGTTGAATAGACGGTTAGGTCATGCTTCTTTTGGATATTTAAGATGATTATTTCCGAAATTGTTTTCTCAGTTAAATGTTTTGGATTTCAAATGTGACATTTGTGAACTAGCAAAAAGTCACCGTACTTCATATCCATTGAGTTTGAATAAAAGTCCAACACCTTTTATGTTGATTCACTCGGATGTATGGGGACTAGCCAATACCCCTTCCTTGAATGGTTTTCGTTGGTTTGTCTTTTTTATTAATGATTGCACAGGCATGACTTGGATTTACTTGATGAAGTCAAAAAGTGAAGTTATTTCTGTATTTCAGAAATTTCATAAAATGATTGTCACGCAATATCAATCTCACATACAAGTTCTTTGTACTGATAATGGTAGAGAATTGGTTAATCACAACTTAAAAGAAGCGTCTACAGGTCCACGGTATTTTGCACCAAATAACTTGTGCATATTCTCCCCAGCATAATGGAGTTGCAGAACGCAAAAATCGCCACTTACTTGAGGTTGTCTGTGCTTCTTTATTTGGTGCCCGTATGCCCACCAATTACTGGGGTGAAGCTACTATAGCTGCAGCCCATCTCATTAATCGTCTACCCTCCAACTCTTTACAATTTCAGACCCCCTACCATGTCCTCCACTCAACCATTAGTGCCCCAAATCCTTGAGAAATAAGTTGGAACCTCGAGCTCTTCGATGTGTATTTGTGGCTATGCTTTACTTCAGAAGGGATATTGTTGCTATCACCCTTCTTCTCGAAAGATGTATGTGACTCTTGATGTTATATTTCACAAACACGAAATGTACTACTCTTCTCCCGATTCTCCACTCAAGGGAGAATCAAAATGAATTGCAGACTCTAGCTCCAAATCTGAATGTTACAAGTGTCACTCCCTTCCTTTTTGACTCTAACTCTAGTAATGAACGCCCAGAGAAAGCGGAGTCAGGGGACGGAAACTTTCAAAATCAAATAGAGAAAGCAGAGTCAAGGGATGAAAATGGTGAGTAAGGGGATGGAAATTGTCAGAATCACGTGGAAGATATGATTACGCCCAAAGTGTTACG